TACCTTTCTATTCATCTCATTACACAGTCCATAACTGTAAAAAAACACCCCTATCTATGGCAAACGAGCAGAACAAGCAAAAGAGGCACCCCCTGAAATGCACTGAAATTGCAGATTGGCAGATTATTACATGCGGAATATGCGGCACTGAAGCACGCCATTCCCACGGCAAATTTCCAAACCACACGCTGTCCCGTGCCACTATTTGTCAGACAGTGCTGATGTCGCAATTTTCAACGGTCACACTTTGGCTCTTGGTGGCCACCGACGAATTCCTTATTTGCGGCCGCTCAAAATCCTGTCAGGTATAAATTCATAGGGCTCTGGCCTTTTTCTACGTCCCGACTCTCTATCATTCGCTTTCTACTGTATCCACTATTTACAACATGACAGCGCCCGACTTCAGCTCCATCCCTGTGCTTGACCTGGCCGTAGCTAGAACCAACAAGCCCCGCTTTTTGCACGACCTCAAGCACGCGCTGATCCATGTTGGCTTCTTCTACATCGCTGGCCACAACATCACTCAAACATTCCTTGACCACCTCACCTCCCTCACTATCAAGTATTTTGACCTCCCACTGGCAGAGAAACTCAAGACTGACAAGATCCACTCACCGACCTTCCTCGGCTACAGCGTCCAGGGCAATGAGATTACAAAGAACAAGAAGGACAACCGCGAGCAGTTTGATTTCGCCAACGAGCTCACCCAGCGGTGGCAAGAGGGACGGCCAATTCATGAGCGCCTAACCGGCCCCAATCTATGGCCCGATGAGAGTGTGCTGCCCGGATTTCGCGATGCGGTACTGGACTACCACAGGCAGGCCAATGATCTGGCAGAGGAGCTGACCCAGTATGTCGCCGAGGCAGTGGGGCTGGCACCAAATGTTCTGCTGGATGAGTTTGTGGTCAAAGGGCAGCAGCACCGCGGCAAGTTGGTGAAATACCCTGCCATTGACGAATTAGATGCGACAGACGGCGACCAGGGTGTCGGCCCGCACCGCGATACCTCGTCGCTGCTGACTATTCTGTATCAGGCGAACGATCTGCCTGGGTTGCAGGTGCAGAATCATGCAGGCGAGTGGATCGACGCGACGCCAATCAAAGGCACCTTTGTGGTTAACATTGGCACTGGGCTGGAGTACCTAGTGCAGCGGGTCGCAGTGGCTACTACGCACCGGGTGCTGAACCCACCACCGGGCCGCGGGCCGCGCTATTCTATTCCGTTTTTCCTCGGAGCGCGTATCGACAAGAAGCTGACGCCGCTGGAAATCCCGCAGCATATTCTTGACGAGCGCCCCGAGACTGTAGTGTCTGATTCGGGCCACCAGTTCAACGAACTGTACTTTGAAGACCCCGGAACGTATACGGTGTTGAATCGCATCTCGTCCCATCGTGATGTGGCGGCCAAGTACTACCCAGAACTTGCCAAAGCGCATGGTATCAACGTTGAAGGCGTCAACGCTGGCTATTGAATGTGGAATCTCAAATATGATATTTTCATTAAAAACAAAACATTACGTTTTAAAGGGCGTGTTGCGCTGGAAAGTAGTCACAAAACTGGTGGGTTACATAGGGCCAGCAATGATAGCACCGTTACCCTCAAAGACAGGACCGCCGCCTGGGGTGCCGGACGCAGAGTTTTGGGTAAAGCCGACAAGGCGCTGGCCGACCAATCTGGTGTCCTGCTCGACACCCACAAACGAGTTCCCGAAGGGGTCAACGGCAGCATCGACACCGGTGAAAGAGACTGCTCCAGTAAGGGGGTCAAATCCGAAGCGGCCAAGTGGCTTGGCAAGGGATGCTGCTGCTGCCGAGAGAATCAACGCAATGTTGGATATATGCATATTAGAGACGAGGATGAATAAGGTAAAGACGGTTTAATAAAGGGGGAGATGTTGGTGTTGGATCGTAAGACAAGTGAGGGAAAGAGACATAAAACGAAGTGAAGAGGAAACCAGGGCCATTCGGTCCTGCCTTGGTCTTTATACAGTTGGGGAGACCAAAAACAAGCGGTTCGCACGCACAAGCCTCTAAACAACGAAATGGTCAAGAGCTTAGGCATTGTACGAGAAAACAAACAAGTAATTAGACGGGTTGCTATTGAGAATGTGGCGTTACGGACGATATGGCTGCTCTGCCACTGGCGCATTCGCCCATGGCAAAGTGACTTCTCACTTGGTCCGAGCTGGCTCTACTCGAGCCGCTCGGGTCGAGTCAATCACTCTCATTCATTAATTTCCTGATTCTCTGTTCCGGGACGCTTCGCTCATTGAGCTAACGGGTACTGCATACTCCTGTGACAGTTCCAGTGACACGCGCTCTGGCGGATTCCCAAGTGTGGCGATCATTAGTTGAACTGCTAGATCGCCGATAGCGGTGTTTGTCTCAATCCCGAATATGCACCTCTTGTAGTACACGGTGCTGGATGTTAGTCGCCTAGTGTAAGTTATAGAGGCTTCGGACATGCAATGAATATCCAAAAATAAGTAGCGGACATGGGGGTTTATTGTGAAGCTAATTGAACTGAAAAAGAACCTTCCTGTAGACATGGAGGACGCGGTTTTTATATGTGCATGTGGCGTGATGAACAGACTCGGTTGAGGCCGTCCTTACCTAGGCCGAACTCAAGTCTGCGCCAGCACCACAGCGTATACTCGACCGGACCACAACAGCCATCAATACAACATCCTACAGACAGCACAGCTCTCACTCTCCAGCGAATCTCTTTACCTTTCCTAATAGGACCTTGTACTCAACAATAATTTCGGACGTCAATATCCAGGGATGCCACAATACCATCTGAGATATTGGGATTCCCACCGACTGTTACACATACTGCTCAAACCGCAAAGTCCGAATGACAGGCTACGTAATGACAGCAAGGAGCGGAGTTGAGAAATCGCAGCTCCAGCAGAACTTGGATCATCGACTATCACTAGCCAACCAGGGCTACCCCCGCAAACTACAGCTTAGCTATAAGAAGGGCGATGTTTTGCTGCTGCCACGAGGATTCCTTGTGCTAGCAGCTTTGTCCTTTCTCCTTTGTTCTTTGAATATTTTCTGAACCTCTATAGCATTCTAACCAGACCATCTCGCGACCTTCCTCTACCAATCCTCGTTCCTATACCGACAGCAAGGGCGTTTTCTACTTAAACCATGTCTCTTTCCTTCAAGCTTGTTCTCTGCTTTGTAGTCCTGCTTCTGTGTGCCAATGTCTCCCAGGCCTGGGAAGCAGGTACCAAGGGATGCCACTGTGTCGCTTCTTTCGAGTACACATACAATTGCTGCGACAGATACAAGGGTAAATTTGATAATTTTGGGCGCTTAGGTATGTATACTATGGCCAGTTATCAGCTTGTATAACTTGGGTGAGAGCAGACTTATTAAGAAAGTTGTATTGTGATTTGGAGTTTGTAAAGGTAAGTAGGGCCAGAGGAGGAGCTTGTGATACTCGCAACATCACATCACAATTTGCAATTGCTATTCACAGATTATTAGAATCTACTATCCTCCTCAAATTAACAGGCAATGAGATGCCAGGAACACATGCCATCCATCTCTGGGCTGCAGTAGTCTCCCTTGCTTTCATGCACCACGCACTATTTATATATGCAGGTACCTGCTCCTTGCTTTCAGATTCGTCTTCTCTATTTGTATATAACATATTTTCATGCATTTAACAATATATTATGAGAGTTGCAACAAAGATTAAATATAATACGACAGTCACAAGAGGTTATCTACTTGATATTGCTGCGCGCCCGGTGTGGCTGTCCCTGACGTCGACATGTCAGCCGAATCAGGTGACAGCAAGCCAGGTGCCAACGAGAGCCCTGCTACAGCCTACAATATAGAGGTAGAGTCTAGCCTCTGATAAGTTGCACAGATGGATGTATTGAAAACGCCCCTGCGCAACTCGTCTATTCCTTGTTCTCTCTTTTCTTCAGTATTAAATATAACTTTTAAAATCCCCGCACATTCAACAAACAGAACAGCCTTACACCACGGATGTGGAGAAAGCAGCAGATGTCATCAATAGCTACAAATATTGATGGCCAATTCACTCAAGAATGCGTTACAGTCAGCGCAACACCTATCTGTATAATCTGCCTCTAGCTACTGCCGCCATGCTAATAATATCAGTGGATTAATGGTGTATCTCAGAATCATGGCAAAGCTATCTCGCTTCCTGGAGATCTACATGCTGCAGCACCATTCCTATTTTTAGTTGATACTCACCAGCTGGCCCGCATGCACTGGCTAATTTTAGAGCTTCTACTCAGGAATCCTCACAGAGCGACCGCTAGTCCCAAAAGGGCGCATTGCAGGTACGTGGGAGAAGATCCTAGTTTCCTGGAAGCCATCGCTTTGATAACATTATAGATTTGTAAATCACTATCCACAAAGAATCCAGTATCTTTGTGGTATCGCAGTGATATCTACTATAGATAGCAGCTAGTCACATCGAGGATGATTATGTGCAACTGGCAATTGCAAATTTCTTTTCATAAGTATACAGCAATCTCATATAAAAGCGAGTCGGCCCCAGCAGTTGTCTTGGTAATCTACATCATCATCAACATTATCAAGTCTTGTGTATACCTGCATTTTCCACCAAACTCTGCATCAACACTACCCTACCATCCTCATTCCACTTCACCCACGAAACAATGCGTCTAGCTTCAATTACCTTCATTGCCTGTGCGGTTCTTATTGCCTCCCCCGATATCGCTCTGGGTGCTTCGTCGGGCTCCAAGACAGGTTCCAAGTTAAACTCCAAGTTCGGCTCTAAGGGATCCTCGGGTAGAAACAGGCCTACTCCTGTCTCTGCTCCTGTGGCTAAATCGAAGACAGCTGCCCGCTCAAAGTCAAAGACAAAGTCAGTCGCACCGACCAAATCAGTGTCAACTGCCCCTTCGACGACCGCCTCCCAGTCCACTGCATCAAATTCTGCCACCTCAACCAGTGCTGCACCCACGTCTACCCAGCTTACCCATGACATGTGCCCGCAAAATGTACTGTCTTGTTCGACTGAGGCATTGGCAAAAAAGGCCGATACCTGTTGCTATGAGCAATACGGCGTCCATGTGCTAACGCAGCAGTGGAACAAGGATGTTGGACCCGCAGACATGTTCACGCTGCACGGCCTATGGCCGAGTGCTTGCAAAGGAAAGAGCCCTCCGACCTTTGGATGTGACAATTCTCGAAGGAAGAAGAAGGTCAAGTCAATTCTCCAGGCAGCAAAGCCTGAGCTGGTAGCTGACATGCTAATTTACTGGCCGGCCAGCGACAATAGGCACGATGAATTCTGGGGGAAGGAGTGGACAAGGCATGGCACTTGTGCAACAACTCTTGACCCAAAGTGCTTCAAGTCATACACCCAGAACGAGGACATTGTCGAGTACTTCTCCAACGCCATCAAGCTCCACAAGTCGCACAATTATATTCCTGCACTGGCAAGCAAAGGGATTGTACCCGACGACACGGCGCTTGTCGATCCGAAAGACTTCAAGGATGCAATCAAGACCAAACTCAATATCGACGTGGAGATCTCGTGCACCCAGTCGGCGGATGGGACTGAGGAGATTTTGAATGAAGTGCGAACCTACTTCAATGTAAAGCTCACAAGCGACTATACCCTTACGGCGGCTAAGGGCAGGAACTCGTGCACCAAGCCATTTAAATTCCCCAAGAAGAAATCAGCCTCTTCATCTTCCACCTCTGCTTCGGCATCATCTACTACCTCATCTGCTTCTACCAGTTCGTCTGTTTCTACTACCTCTGTTCAAGCGACATCGGCATAAACCAAAATATTTTTGTGAACTGCATGAAATTGACTGCTCCTGAATGTCTCTTATGCTCCTGTTTGTCATCAACTTCATGCTATCAAGCATAGGCTTGAGTGTATAATGTGTTTGTGGTTTCAAATCCTCATGATTTTAGGAACCCATAGATCAAGACCTTTAGGCCACAATGGCCGGCCATGCTATTCCGGGCGGCCGGCGTCACTACTTAGACGGGCACCTGCCCTTTCACCTGGCAATTCCTTCTTCCTTCTTTCATACAGCATATTTCATACGTTCAATATACGTCGTGGAAAGGTGCTTGGAGAGTAAACGTATTCTAGACAGTTGTAGGAGGCTGTCTATCTAAGTGTATCGTACCCGAGACACAACAAGGATAATGGCATGGATGATGGGCAAATGAAAGAAGACTGCGGTTCGCAGGGTACATCTTCCAGTCTGCTCAGAGTCAGCGGCAAGGTATTACATGCCAACATAGGAATACAGGGACCCCCTCGGCCCACTCGACCAGAGCCACATTCACATCTGGCGTGGTTTATTAATAAACGCATCTCGAAAAAAAAATCATAATACGATATATTAGTTGAGTACAGCCAGCTCTGTCATAGTGCAAACCCAACTAGACACAGGGTAGGTTAGCCTTGGAGAAGCCAAAGGCGCATTGGCTCTTTGTACCGCTGGCTGTAATCATCGTTATAGAATCCAATGCAACCCACAGATGACTTGACCCAATCACACATTGCAAACACAGATCCACCCCACCTGGTGAACAAAATATCGCTGCCGTCGTAGTTGATCTGGAGGCGGTCTGATGGCTCAGGCAGCTCGGGAGAAACGCGAATATCGTTCATACCGTCATCCGGGCAGCACAAGTACTGGCCGTTGTGTGTCAGGTAAAGGATCCCATCAATTGTCTCGCAGGAAAACACATCGCTACGACCAGGATTAGCCATTAGCGCACCATCGAACACATTGATTCCGTCCTGTTCAGGCTCATACTCGTCGTCACTCTCCTCTTCCTCATCGTCACTGCGTGGAATGATAAATGAAAACTGCTCGCCGTCAGCCACCTCGTCACCGTCCTCATTCCTGAGCCTGAACTCTCCGTTCAGCAGGCGCCTGGGTGGTTGGCGCTTCCTGAACTTTCTATCCACTTTGTTCAAGTCGTTGATCGCAGCGATGTTCTTTCTGACAGTCGAAATGACTTTCCACTTGAGAGCTTCTGAAAAAGTGTAGCTGTTGTCGATGTTGCTGGAATCAACACACTGGTAGGTTTCATCTTTGTACACGATGAAGAAGTGGTTGCCAGCAGCCTTCAGTGGTTTTGGTTATCTCGGCAAACTGCTCGAGATTTTTCTCCTTGTAGTAGTGGACAATAGTGTTGTCCTCGGTTGTGTTTCCGTGTATGTCGCCGATGTTGTCTTCATGGACAAAGTAAAGGACTGGCGGCTCAGAGTTGAACTTTAGGCCATTACATTCAGATAGGGCTCTCCAGTGATGAGCACTGAAACTGCCATAGAAGAAAGCCTTCATAATGCAGTTTCTGGAGATGTAGTTGCACTTCATCGGACCGTCGGGCACATTGTGGATTGTGAAATACCCGGTCTCGAACACAAAAAACGGATCCTCCGAAGCGCTGCGCTGTTCTATTGCCTGCTGCTCGGTTTCAACATCAATGAACGTAGTATTGGTATCGACAAAACAAGTGGGGATGCTGTCGCGGTTAACGTGAGCTAGAACAAAAAACGGTGAACATGGTGAAAAAGCGAAAGATAGAGAGGAAAATATGGTTTGGTTGCCAGAGGTTTGCGTGGAGTTTATAACCGCCCAAAAGCAGGCAATGGCTGCGGAAGTGGGCCTTTTGCACAGAATCAGCAGATTGGGGGGGATTGCTATGTGCTTTCCACAAAGGCTGGGATTAGCAGTTGCGTGTTTAGAAGGGACAACAGTTGGCAGGCCATGTTTTCCAGCTGGAGAAGCACAAGTGGGCAACACAGCATATTTCGTGCTATGTGAACGCTGCTTCTCCACACATTGCTGTTAGGGTCCAAGGGTAGCAGACCTCCCTGACCCATCACCTATTTGCTAGCCTGCTCGTAGCAAAGACTCGACAGTCTGGAAACGGGAGGGTGATTAAGTAAAATGCTCCTGGAAGACCATTGAGAACAACCTGGGATAATCCATTTCTCGCATTTTTCTCTCACTTCAACACAATTTTGTTTTTATAATGTCAGACCTTCCATCCGAGTTGAAGCAAATTGCGCCGTACATTCAGCGTGCGCAAGAACTGGCCACGGTGGACCCAGTGGTGTCGTATTTTTGCACGTACTACGCGGCCCGCTTGGCTATCGCCAGCGGGTCGAACACGCCGGCCAGCCAAGCCTACTATCGCAATTACTGGACCAATTGGAGACGGAGAAGGAGCGGATAAAGGAGGACCCGAAAATGGCCAATGACCTAGTGGCCTCGCAGCACTGCAAGACATTTGCACTGAAAGTGTTTGCTAAGGCGGACACGGAGGACCGGAATGGCAGGGCAACCAAGGTGACAGCCAGGAATTTCATCGTTGCATCGCAGTTTTTGCAAGTACTGGCAGGGTTCGGGGAGCTGCCGGAGGATGTGCAGGAGAAGGTCAGGTATGCCAAATGGAAGCGGCGGATATTGTCAAGGCGCTGCGGGAGGGGAGGCAGCCGACACAGGCGCCTGGAGAGCAGCAGCAGCAGCAGCAGCAGCAGCAGCAGCAGTCGGATGCGGGCTCGCCGCAGCCAATGTGACCGCCAGCGATATATTTGCGTGGCCATCACCCCGGCGGTCTCAGCACCAGCGCAGTCGATGCCGCCAGCCCAGCCAATGCCGCCAGCCCAGCCCACCACTCCACAGCAGCCCACGTCGGTCGTGCAGAACAGCCAGTTCGACTCGCTGCCAAGCGTGCCATTGCAGCCGCATGTGAGCAAGCACCAGCAACCTCAGCACCAATAGCGCCAATGGCCGGCAGCGCAACGTTTGTGCCGGTGCCAGCGGCGAATCTGCCAGCTGCAGACGGAGAGCTTCTGGTGGACCCTGCGGTGACCAAGAATGCACAAAAGATGGCTCGGTGGGCGATCAGCGCACTCGAGTACGATGACGTGGACAATGCAATCAGCAACCTGCAAAAGGCCATCGAGATGCTGAAGCCATTTAGCAATAGCAAGTAGATGTTAGGAAAAGGATGTTTTAATCGATCTATACTAGAGTTAGTTTTTTTCACTGGGAGAGCTTGGCAGGAGCTGCTTGCGGCGCTCCGGCGACAGCTGCTGCAGGGCGGCCAGCAGGGCATCGTCGGTGGCTCCGGCGACATTGGCGGCGACATTGGCGGCCTCGACCTGGGCTTTCCAGGCACGCATCAGCTGCGCGACCAGATCCCGGCGGTCTCATACCAGGCAGCAACAGCGCGGTCGTCGTCGTAGGCCTCCGAGTTGCTCTGCTCAAACCAGGCCTGCAAGATGGCCTTCTGCTCCTCGCGATCCATGTCGGGGCTCGTTTTGGCCATATCGCGGAGCAGGTACTCCTCGGCGAGCCTGCGCTTGAGGCGGAAGTAGAAGAAGGTACGCGCATGCTTCCACTGCAGCTCCTTGCGGACCACACCCTTGGCAACCATGCGGCCAGCGCGGTCATGCAGGTCAGCAAACTGCACGGCCAGCTGGGTGTAGAC